CATCGGTAGTAAATATTTCTCAAGGCTGACTTGACCTGGGTCACAAGTTGTTTTCCCACATTCCTCAACCAGGTATTATCTTATAGAAACTTACAGAAAACCATTAAGACTGTCTTTTCTCAAGGCCATAAAGATATGTAGGAAACCATAAAGCTGCCATAAAGATGTTTTTCTTCTGGCCTTTCGGCTCCCAACAGGTATTGGTCAGAGTGTTTTGTCACAGCAAATGAGAAATAAACTAGAACAGAAATTGGTACTGAGAGTGCAGTAACTGCTATGACATATTCTCTAAATAGCATGTGAATATGTGAAAATATTAATACATATATGCAACTTGGAAAGTCATAAAGTGTATGCAGTAGCAGTATCTTAAGTTGCATATGAAGGGAGAAAGATTTATCCAAATATTTTAACAGTGGAAATTCCACAATAAAGAGGCCAGGACACAGTACAGTCCCTAGAATATGACAAACTAGAGTATTATAGAAAAAGTTTTAAAATTTTATATCAATTATTTCTATATTTTCATCAAATGGTATATATTTTGATAGACATAATTGTTTTATTTAGAAATATTTGTATTCCCAAAACTGGAACCACAGACTAGTTTGACCTTCAACTAAATTCATATTTTCACTGGGTTTGGTAACTCATGCCTATAATCTCAATACTCAGGAGACAGAGGCAGGCAGATCTCTGTAATTTCAATGTCAGCCTGGTCTACATTGTGAGTTGGAGGTCACCTGGGGCTTCAGGGAGACTGTCTGAAAAAACAACTCCCCAAAATTCATATTTTCTAATTTATAAAAGATTTTGTGAGAATTTATAGCAATTGTTGGCTTGGAGTTGAAGGGATGTATTTTCCTTCAATGCATTAGCAATGCTTCATTGGTGCCAATTGTTCCATGAAAAATTCATGGACAAGGAAAATTCCTCACAGTAGATGTATTTCTTTTTGATGAGTGAGAATGGTTTTAGTGTGATGTATGTTTGGCATATTTCCACCATAGGAAAAGTAAAGGAGAATCCTGAGTATTCGAAAGCAATCATTTCCAATGACACACTGATGAGAATAATCTGGAAAGTATATTAATTTAGTGCTCATACTACAATAGAAAGAATGGTTAGATGTTTTAAGTATTACTTGATATAGTAAAAACAATAAACCAGAGGAAAATTAAAATGTATCTTACAGGACTTGAGATTTTAACATTTTACTGTCCTATTACATTTTAGCCTAGTCTTTGAAAATGGTAAATAATCATAGAAATTGAAGCCATTGTCGCCTTTAGTCCCAGTACTCAAGAGGCAAAGGCAGGCAGATCTCTGTGAGTTCAAGGCCAGCTGGGGCTACAGGGAGACCCTGTCCCCCCCCAAAAGACCCTGAAGACATTTTCTGCCACGTCAGAGTGATGGGGGGAGCTATTATGTAAGATGATTATAAATTATTATATTTTTATTGTATTTACACAAAAATGTAAATACACTAAAAATTTATATTGATACATGTGTAGATAGACTCATATCTATGGGAAACTCAATTGTGTTCCCAATACTGTAGCTTTCTGAAGACTGCACACTGTTAGTTTAAAATGGAAATAAATTCAATCTGTCTTGCTTTCTAGGGATTATGTGACAGTTTGTTTCAATAGTTGCTACATGAGAACTGATAAATCCATAGTGCATTATCAAGGCATCATTAATATTAGCTGCAGTGTAAATTAATAGTGCCTCATGCAGAATTCACGTATGACATCAAAAGGTTGATTTGCTTCATTTATTGAGTGCGCTAAAAAATGCACGTCAGTGTAAAGTAGCAGTGCTGGGCTTCAGTCCTCTGCTAATTCAAAACAGCCAATCCTGAATATTTAAAATGAACTATATTTTGACTAATAAGATGAAAACATGCAAGTCCATTGAATTACTAATATTTTATTACTCTAAAATTTAAAAAATTGTAGGTATTTTGGAATGTTATTAATAAATTTTTTGTGTAAAACTAAATTGAAAAGAGAAAATAGTCATAAAAAGTTATAACTATATTTACATGCTCATTCATGACCATATTAAAATTTTAGTTTCACTCTTTGAAAATGGTGTGTAATGGCATCCAAGTTGTCTATTAATTTAAAGAAATCTGGTTTCTTTAGTTCTTTTAAAATACATTTTGAATAAAATGCATTGAATTCATTTTGAAATTATTTTAAACCTGCATATGAGTTGATGTTGTAATAAATCAAGCGTGTGGTTAATGATGTGACATGGAACTTCTATGAAGAAAAATTATCTTCCTTCCAAATAGAAACTTTCACATCTTGTTTCAACAGATGATAAGCAAAGGCTAATAGAAGGATAATCCTTCAAAATTGGGTAAATCAGTGGATTATTTTTCCCCAGGGATCTGTTCCTTGGGGACTTACTCTCAAATAATTTGAATGATCTACTTATTAGAGATAATATGATGTATTAGAGACATTATGATAAATATAATGAAGATTACCTGGCCTTGTCTTTTTATCCTAATTTATGAGTATGGTGTTTTACTACTTCATAGAGAACATATTAAACTATAGAGAACATATTAAACATTCTTTCAAAGACATGCTCAGTATTACAAGTGGAAAAATTTAACTTTTTTTTTGTTTTCA